GAGAGAGAGAGAGAGAGAGAGTGAGAGAGGGGGAGAGAGAGAGAGAGAGAGAGAGAGTGAGAGATGGGGGGAGGAGAGAGAGAGAGAGAGAGTGAGAGAGGGGGGAGAGAGAGAGAGAGAGAGAGAGTGAGAGAGGGGGGGAGAGGGGGGAGAGAGAGAGATAGCTAATGCATAGAGATGTAGAGAGAGAGAGAGTGAGCGAGCGAGAAGCTTGCATAGAGAAAGAGTGTTTTTGCTGGCGGTGTGTGTCCGTGTAAACACAGAGCTGGTGTTTCTGTGCTGCTTACTCTCCGAGCACATATTCCTCTGGTGTCCCAGTCAATGAGTTATTTAGGAAAAGGTCAGAGGCGCTTTGCAAAAATCAATCCCACTCGACTCCGGCGGAGAAGAAATCTTTGCCATCGAGCAGTGAGAGAGAGAGAGAGAGAGAGAGAGAGAGAGAGAGAGAGAGAGAGAGAGAGAGAGAGAGAGAGAGAGAGAGAGAGAGAGAGAGAGAGAGAGAGACACGGGTCGTGTCAGTTTGACACTGTAAGCAAAATTCTCTCTGTGACAGTGTGTGAAGTGAGTCACTGATGCACACTGTGTCTCCATCATGTCAGTTCTTACACACTAGGAAGTCCGCGCTGAAGAAACATGTTGAGAAAATGACATGTTGGCTGCATGAACCACAGCGCTCAAAATGATGCCCGTATGAAAGCTGGCAAGCTCAATGCCTCCACTTCATAAAGCATCACAACAACTCTTGAGATGTAGTGTTGCAGTGGCATCTCAGTATCGCTTTCCTCTAAAGGAATGGGGGAAATCATGTAGTCATCTTCATATTAGTCCAGACCTGATCGATATATTTCAGGATGTCAATAGTGGAAATGTGTAACTGTTAGATACGGACATGTTTCCTCTTAACTCTTTCTGCGTGATGAGAATGACCTAAAATGACAGAAACCATCTTTGGATTTTAATTGGATTTTTTACTTTGGCTTGCGTCCCATTCGATTACATGGAGAGGGCCGGGTTAATGACCTTTACTCATAGGGCCCTATCTTGCACTCGGCGCAAATGACTTTGTACACTGACGCATGTCTCATTCCTATTTTGCACCCGCGCAAAGCGGGCTTTTCCCTCCACAGACACACGTCGGTTAACTAAGAAATACACTTGCGCTCCCCGGGGCGGTTCAGCGCAAAGAGGAGGCGTGTTCCGGCGCAAACTTTCCCTCATGCTATTTTGCTGTTCTATAAAACAATTGCGCCACTGACCAGAAAAAAACTAGTCTAAAGTCAGTGGCGCGTTGCGCGTTGTTCATTATGCTATTTTAAGGGCGCATGCTTGGCCATAATCAATGTAGCGTTTGCACAACGCGCATACACTTTGATTCTCTCATCTAAGCAGCAGTTTTCATTTTTGCAAATCATACATTATTACGATAGATAGATAGATAGATAGATAGATAGATAGATAGATAGATAGATAGATAGACAATTTATTATAAAAGCATACATGTAGCTTACACATTTACCCAAATTATCATACGCCTGTTTAACAGAAGTTAATTTGGGTGGGTTTCTCCATCCCCAATGTCACTTCTCTGTGTTTTACGGCCCTGACGAGAACGTTGCTCTCCTCGGCTGTGAACCGCTCCTGGCGCGCGCCTGGCAAATCCGCCGTTATAATAGCAATCCGCTTTAGAACAAGCGCGCCTGCTCTTAAAGGGAATGTGAGATGACGCTCTGATTGGTTTATTTCCCGTTACGCCCAAACCACACCTATGAATAATGAAGCTACTTCAGACCAACCCCTTTTAGATTTGCGCCAGGCGCAAGAGTCATTTATCCCGCCGGGAAAACAGCAACAGCGCCGGGATCCGCCCACAAAGTTACTTGCGCTTTGCGCTTTGACACTTGCGTTTCAGATCGTTAAAATAGGGCCCATAGACTGTACAAAAAATATGTGTGTAGTGTGTGAGACGTCACCCGTAGTGTTTCTGAAGAGCAAAGTGGGCGGAGCCGGCTGTCGCCATCTTGGCCGCGCGTCACTCCCGAGGCGGATTAGCTGAGGTGACGTGACGCTAACGCTAGCAGACAAACGGCTAGTAGTGACATCAGCTGCAATCCACCTGTCACTCAAGTGGCCACACCCTTAATTATGCAGAACTTTAAGGCTTAAAGCTCCAGTCCGTAACTTTTTTAAGTTAAAAATAATCCAAAATAATTATATTAAAAAAAACTTATTCTGCCAGTGGTCAAAACTCTCTGCTTGCCATAGCTAGATTCAAAACGGTTAGCTTGTAATAATGATTTTAATTCCAGTGGTACTGGTGGGTTTCCGCGGGAAATTCGAGCATGTCTTTGCGTCATGACGTCACACCCGTACACATAAAGAAGGAGTTTCGGCTAGCCGGCTATACTGCGCGTGACCAGATGTTTAGGCTTTTCTCGCAGCACTTTACATAATTACACTTATGGCATCCAGAAAGATCCAAACAACAATCATCAGTGTCAACTGGAGATTCAGCAGTTATAAAACCCAAAAGACTTCGTACTTCGGATTAAAGGTGGCTAGAGAAAGAGAAAGAAACCGTCTCATGCGAACACAAGGATTTAAACATCGGCGGGGCTTTTGAAAAGTGCGTGAACTCCGTGTTTTGAAGGGGTTCGAAACGGAAGAAGAGACGGCTTTTTTCTGCTGAACAAGTAAGACATTTCAATAGTTCAATCGTGTAACAGTACGTTTTCTTAATTCACACAGTTATGGAGTTTCCTTTGTTGTGCCTTTATCGTTTTGCTATTATGGAGAATATGAATTCTGAACTACGCTGCTAACCATAAAACACATTCAATTTAACATTAGTCACGCAATGCTGATGTGATGTTGTTAACATGAACAATTTGAGAACAAAGTAGGCTATAATTTGCACGGTTGCTGTAAATCGCGTTGATTAAATCTAACGAAGCTTATCATGTCGAATGCTTTTTCCCCCTTAGTTGGTCAGAACAAAAATGGATGTTACTTACTTGTTCAGAAGACATTTTCTTATGAAAATTCTTATGTTGGTCAAACTTTCAAAAAGTGAATCTGTGATTCTGTATGCCAGTCTCCACACAGCGCGGTGACTGACAGCAGCACTCGCCTCAAAGCACTGTGTTCATCCGCGCTGTTTCATGCCGATTTACAACCCACGTAAAGATGATAATTCCGCCAATCACTGCAGTTACAGATTTCGAACAGGGAGATGGCGACAAAGAGGAAAAGCTACGGACTGCAGCTTTAATATAATTTAAACGGATGACTTATAAAAATAATACACCCCCTCACAGTCATCATGAAGGGCAACATTAGCGATATAGACCAAAACCACTTTTTAGACCAGACTGTAAACATGTTTATTTCTGCTGTAAAGTTGGGCATTTTAACATGCGGGTCTATGGGACTGAGTCTCTTCTGCAGCCGGCCTCTAGTGGCCAGTGGAGGAACTGCAGGTTAACTCTCTTCAGTGTTGGTTATAGAGAGAGACCGGACATTTTACTGTTTTTCGAATACTTTGTATTTGGACATATTACTCTTCTGAAATACCGTTTTTCGCAGACTATAATAGTAGGGAAGTATTCAATACCGGAGGCAGCATTGGTTTACGCAGATGATCTTCTCCGCTGGTTTTTGGATCCGCAGATGCTGTACTATTTCAGAAGATGCGTAACAGCGCCACCTACCGTATAGCCATGAAAACATCTCAGGGATTCATATGTGACCCGAACTAGACGCTGTGTCATTGCGTTGATGCTATGGGAACGTCTTCAGCATCAACACAATGACGCAGTTCCCTCAAAAAGGAACGTGGATTGCCGGAAAACCTCATAAATGGTGGGGAAGCGTTGTCATAAATGACAGAAAATCATGCTAATGGAGCGGAAAGAGTGCTGTAATACAAGTTTTTTTGAAATGTCATGGTTAAATGTGGAAATGAGACATTATATAATTAAAAATCCCTTAATTTGCATAACAGAAATCTGAACATTGGATAAAGCCAGTTGTTTGATTTTGTTGACATATTAAAGGTTTTAACAGAGGGGATTTTGGTATTCTCCTTAAATCGGAACATACTCTCATCAGACAGACACAAATACATTCTCAGCTTGTTTTTGGTGAATTATATACAGACAAACTCTGTAAAAACCCTTAAGAATATAGATTTTGGTGTATGTAAAGCTGCTAAAGTGCAGATTTCAGACTCAAACGCACTGCCTTTAAAGATATGGATTGTAATTGAAATCTACAGTGTCAAAGTGCAATAAAATAAAGAGTTACATGTGTATTTTGGATGTCTTCTTTCCAGTGGCCTGAAAACAAATCTCAAAATTGGCCATTGCATGAACAAACAATGGTTTTGCATGTTATATCTCACAATTCTGACTTTATAACGCGACTATATCACACAATTCTGACGTAATATCTCCCAATTGTGTGTTATAAAGTCCGAATTGCGAGATATAAACATGCAATTCTGAGATAAAAAGCCGCAATTATCTTTTAAAATGTTTTATTCTGTGGCGGAAAACAAGCTTCCATAGAAAGAAGACATGTAATGGAAGCAGAATTGGCCATTGCATGAACAACCAATGGTTTTGCATGTTATATCTCACAATTCTGACTGTATAACACGCAATTGCGACTTTATATCACACAAATCTGACTTTACATCTCCCAATTGTGCGTTATAAAGTCAGAATTGCGAGATATAAACATGCAATTCTGAGATAAAAAGCCACACTTATCGTTTTAAATGGTTTTGCATGTCAGCCATTATTTGCGGAGCAGGTTTGCTATTGCATTGATGCCACCAATGAGTGTCTTGATGTCAAATTTGAATTGAATGAGAAGAAAGTTACACAGTCAGGGAATTCGAGCAAGTCGTTCTTCTGTGAATGTGATATTTAAACTCCTGGCATCTGAATGAGGGGAAGTGAAGTCTTGCGTTAACTGACCATATTGCTCTGTGCCATTAGGTGAGGAAGCTCTCACCATGTACATGGCCAAGAACAAGCTGGACCGGAAGATGGTCAACGCCACCCAAGGAGTCGAGGCACTTCACCAGCTCGCCTCCTCGTACTTCATCGACCGCGACGGCACCATGCGCAAACTCCACGAGATCCAGATCTCCAGCAACTCCATCAAGGTGAGAAAGAGCAAGCCTGTTGCTTTTCTTACTCAGTGTTTTTGTCTTGTTTCCAGTCCAAATATCTAAAAAAATCTTCAATCAAGATGCATTAACTAGATGAGTAGAAGGTATTATGTCTTGTTTTCTGGGGGAGAAAATAAAAATGCAGTGAGTTTTTGCTTAAAACAAGAAAAATGATCTGCCAATGGGGTGAGAAAAATAATGTTGTTTCCGTTTGAATCAAGTTTTTTTTTTTCTTATTGCATTGACAGATCAATTTTCAGATCACAGAACTTCATTTAGATTTGTCCCCCATAAAACAAGACATAATATCTTATAGCATTTTACTCATCTAGAAAATGCATCTTGATTTAAGAATTTTTAGATATTTGGACTGGAAACAACAAATACTGAGTAAGAAAAGCGGTGTATAAAGCACATTTCATACACTATGGCAATTCAAAGTGCTTTACACCGAAAGGAGTTAAAATAATCACAAAATAAAAGCAAGAACAAATTTAAAGAGTCATAAAAGGAATTAAAAGAGATGTATGATACAGTTATACAATGATGATACATAGATAAACTTCTCATCTGGCTAAACACCGGTGTGTCATATTTTTCACAACTCCCAGTTTTTTATATTATATAGACTCATTACATGCAAAGTGAGATATTTCAAGCCTTTGTTTGTTATAATTTTGATGATTATGGCTTACAGCTTATGAAAACCCCAAATTCAAAATTAGAATATTGTGAAAAGGTTTTCATAATGCCTGGCTCACACTACAGGAGTTTTAAAATCCTAACCGATTGTGAAATCTGGTTGCAGCTCACACTTAAGGAGAATCTTTGCAGATTTTCTTTCCTCAAATCTTAAACATGCTCACACTACAAGATTTGAAAATCGCGGCGCATCACACACTACACAATGTTATTAAGATTATCGTGCCAGAGGACGCGCTCACGTGATCTCACGCAGCAGATCGGAAGCAGAAAAGTGGATGTAAACAAAATATCTGTCCTTCATATCAAGTCATATTCGTGAAAAGGTTGCCGTGACCAAGGAAAGAGAATTAAAAAAATAATAAAAAATTATCCTTTTTCTAGGCTATTTCTAATGAATGGCGTCAGCTCTGGTCAATACAATGAATCAATGCCATTAATCTCTATGAAGTGAAGCATCAGCTTCGCGTTGCCCATGCGCCGCATTGCTGCTCAGCTGAGCCTTGTAAAGTGGAGCTCAAAGTTAAAATTAAATATTAAAATAATTAACAGCTTGTTTCATTACATCTATATTTGAATGAATCCGCATTTTTTTACATTTCCGTTGAATGAACAGTTTAATGACTCACTCAAAGACAGTCCCTTGTCTTCACCTAGTGGCGTAACAATGTAACTGGACTGAGCGAGTGCCGAGTAAATGGTAAAATATAAGCAGAAAGCCTTTAGTAAAGAGAGATTCGAGGATCGAAACTAACTGTTATATAACAATGGCCTAAAAAGCTTATTGTCAGGTTTATGTTCTGTTATTAGATTATGTGGGACCTTATTTGACATTATCTTCGGTTTACTATACTTCGTTTCAATGGGCTTTTTAATTTCGGTTTCATTACTGAACATGTACTCGTCTTCGTGCCTGCTGACCACAGCGTAACACTTATTTATTTAGCAATAAATAAATAAATAAATGAAGATAATTCCGCATATCGCGCTGTTGAGTCACTCGAAATTACAACAATGGAAATTCCTTCACCACGACAGCCCTACTTGTTTCTTATTGGCTAGACAGTGACGTACCGGTAATCACAATCTTGCTCATCCCGATAAATATCAAACATGTTTGATATGATCGGGGCGAGCCCGATTTGTGTGAGAGCAGATCGGGAGGTGCAAGATTCGATCTGTGAACGCTTCACATTACCAGATAATCTGTGCCGAACATCGGAACCGATCGAGGTCCTCGACAAAATTTTTTCTCCGATTCTCGGGAGGGGTAAATCGGGCATAAATCGGCCTAAAACTCCTGTAGTGTGAGCGAGGCTTAAGCCATAATCATCAACATTATAACAAATTAAGGCTGGAAATATCTCACTTTGCATGTAATGAGTCTATATAATATATATTAGTTTCACCTTTTAAGTTGAATTACTGAAATAAATGAACTTTTGCACGATATTCTAATTTTTCGAGTTTCACCTGTATACCACACATTTAATTTCTCATGCCATTTATACGGCAAAAAGGTTTTCTGTATGCTACGCACTGTAGGGGTGTGGAGTGTATTACACGCCATAAACTGCGTATCATATGCACGCAAAAACTATTTTTGCCGTTTTAATGGCACGAGAAATAAAATTTGTGTCCGGATCGGGCCGGACTCACGGGGTGACCTCGGGTTCACCAACCCATCAGTCCAAACCCCAAAGATTAGTTCAGAAGCTCTCGCAATGCACAGAGACATCCTCGCCCTCCTCCATTATCCATCTGTCCGCTGAGCTTTTTCTCGCTGGAGTTGACAGGCGTCTGAAGAGCTTCTGGCACACAGGGCTTCAGGAAGCAAGAAGTCAAGCATGACAAAATTAAACAGAATTGACAATAGCTGCTGAGTCAGGACGGCAGAAAGAAGCAGCAAACGCAGCACTTGCGCTTCTCTTAGACCTCAGAACGACTGACCTGACAAACTACAGCTCATCTACATGTGCTGCGGCTCACTCCTGCTCCTCAGCGCGCTTCAGTGCGTCCGGGGTCTGTATTCAACCCGTCGTGGAGAACAAGTGGCTTAATTGTATTTAATGTGCATTTAAAGTGTACTTCAGGCTAGTTTAAAAACAAATTGCACTTGCAGATAATGTAATATATTAATGGAATTAAAGAGTGCACTTAAAGAGAGTACACTTCTGTCTCAAGTACACTTTTATATATTTTAAGTGAACTAAATTGCAACTTCATCACTGCGACATTTTTAAATACATGATGAAGTATGTTTAACCATATTTCAAAGACAATAGAATTATTTATAAAATTACATGTTCTTAAATCCTACTTAAGTGGGTCGAAAACTATGGAAGCTTGTTTCCGCCACAGAATAAAAAAATTAAAAAAGGTAATTATGACTTTTAGACTTTTATTTCTCACAATTGTGAGTTTACATTTCACAATTCTGACTTTTTATCTCAGAATTGCGTGATATAAAACCGCAATTGTGAGTTATAAAGTCAGAATTGTGAGATGTAAACTCATAAAGAGATAAAAAGTTGCAATTATCTTTTAAAAAGGTTTTTTTTTTTTTTTTTTTTGGCGGAAACAAGCTTCCATAAAACACGCTAAAGATCAACTAATTGCATTTAATATAAATTTAAACTATAATACATTTTTATTTAATTGCAATTAACATACAGTTAAGTGTCCAAAAACATTATACTCAGTTTGCACAATTAAAAAAAAAAAAGTAGTATGCACTCTTTTTTAAAAGTATGCCAAAGCGCTGTGGCCTCATCTTTCTCCACAAGGGATGTTACAGTGAAATTATGCATAGTTTGAAATAGAATGTGCATAGAGAGGATTCAGACACAACACAAAGAAGAATGCACACACACACACACACACACACACAAACACACACACCTGCACTAACAATATGGATTGGTTTGGAAGGCAGTGCAGCTCTGCAAGCTCTCACACACACCCACACACACCCACACACACACACACACACACACACACACACACACACACACACACACACACACAGACAGAATGAGAGTGTTGATATGACGGCACGTCTTCCCTGTAAGTCCTGCAGATTGAGGCCTAGTGTGTTACTCTGAATGTGGAACTGAGTGTCTACAGAAACACTGCATGCTTATCAACGCATGCAACAAACACACACTGACTAAATATTAAGTTATTATCAAATCAGATTTCTATGGAAGCTTAGGGTTAGGTTAAAAGGTAATTATGACTCACAATTCAGACGTTTTTTTCTAGAAGTAGCACGTTTGCATCTCACAATTCTGAGAAAAAAAAGCATAATTGTGAGTTATAAACTCTGAATTTCAAGTCAAAATTGCAAGATATACATTATAATTGTTTTAATCCGTGGCGGAAACATGCTTTCATATATTTCACTCTAAAACGGTACATTATATTTACAGAACATTTTTATAATATTTACTTAAAGGGGTCATATAATGGTGCATGCACTTTTACAAGTTGATTGTACTGAAATGTGTGTTGGCAGTGCCTGTACACAACCATCATATAATGATAAAAATCCATCCAGTGTTTTTGTTTTAATCTCCTTATATGTTTTCCCCTGCCTCAAATCGAGCCGTTCGACCGTGTGACGTCACACGCTCGGAAGCCCCTCCCACGATTGTTGAATGACAGCCGCGTTTCAACACAGACCCGCCCTCGCTCGTGAGAGCTGTCAATCATAGTCTGCGCGGACCGGCGCGGTCATTGTTGAAATGCTGGAGCACTGTCTATGAGCAGAATGGCGTCTAAGCGATTGTGGTGTTCTGTTCTTGGGTGTAATAACGAACACAGTCATTTTAATGTTCCTGAATCCGAACCGCTGAAGACGCAGTGGCTGAGTTTGTTTTCGAAGGGAATATTCCCCACGAGCAACGTCAATGCTCTCATGTTTGCGCGAATCATTTCACACACCAGACTGCTTTATAAACGAGGGTCAGTATAAAGCTGGATTTGCTAAGAAGCTGCTCGAATAAAGGAAGAAGCTGCCATGAATAAAGGATCGGGACCAGATATTCGTGTTCCTGCTGAATCTCCAGAAGAACGGAAGTGAGTGTAACGTTTTATTAAACTTTATATTAATATACTAATCTTTGCAAATCGCTAGCTGCACACTTCACAATGACTGCGTCTAAGGTTTACACTCAGGGTACAGTACGGCATGTTTTCTATGTATGACGTTCTCAATATAATTCATAATCCCACGTTTATACTGAACAACGCGTTATGGTTATTGTGTTACAAACGGTGTGCACAGAACA